AGTAAAAAGTGAGCAAGACATAAAAATCACAAGTGGTGTTTTTAATACTGTCACCAAACTCCATGATAAACTGCATAGAGGTTTTATTGTCAGCATCTGCATGCACAAACATCAGTTTTTCCCCCCTCACTGTCAAAAGTGTAATATGACCCATTCTGTGTAAACTACAAATGCACAATTCAGTTCATGAATTAGCTGGGCATTCTGGTAAAGGTTTAGACACAGGTCATGACTCATGTTCTCCGTTAGGTATTTTTACTCAGTTACAAACAGCAAATTATCAGTATACATCCAAACATATCAGACACGTTTCTCAATTCTACTCCTTACAGCACTGTGCATTTAGAATGTATCACTTATTTGACACACCTGATTCATCTCTTCAGTTTATTAGTAGTGATGCATAACCTGAATTTAGTATGTAAAATTAGTAAGACACCACAAATGAGCAGTGCTGGGTTTTCAAGAACAGTATAAAGGAACACATTAATCTAAAGAAAATACAGTAGATAAAAAAATGGGGGGGGAAAATCAATTTTAGTAATAAAAATAGTCAAACAATTTGGTAGTTCTATGACTCAAAAGGAGAAAGCAACCATAAGAAGAATCCAAGGATACGATTTTTATTTGACTGTTTTTGAGAGACAACCTTGAAAATCAAATTTGATAAAAAGAAACAAAGAAATATTATTATATGCAAATTAAAAAATAATAATATGCAGAACTTACATGTACCTAAACAAACCGCTGTTATGTTTTCAGTTTTGATGGTTGTAACAGATTTTGAGGCAACATAGAAGTTACTGTCTGCCATCTGACTCGAACATTTAAACAAATGATGTACAGCATTTTTAAATAATAAAAACATCTATGTCAGTGTAAACAGAACCGGTTTTATATAGTATTCATCGACAGTAGTTCAAAAGTAAATAAACCATCACAAAAATTGTTGACATTTGAAGAAACCTGTATCACAGTATAATCTTAAAAGTGGCATTTTGGATATTGTTCAATGCAGGGACAAAATAATAATAACAATAAATACAACAGGGAATTACAGTAGTTTAATCTTTTGTTGCAAAACCACAACCAAAACAGTTGCCACAATGGTGATTGTCCAAATTGAACATTTGTATTTTAAATAAGAAGTTTTACAGGTAAGACATGAGGTAAAGGTAACATAAGATCTGGTTTTCAGGCTTCTGATATGTAGCTGTGGGACATAAATCACCTTTTGGGACTACTGTCTTTTTTTCCGAGCACCTTCTCTACTATCCAGAGAAACAGATCTGTTGCCAGGCGCTCTTTCTGAAATTGTGGAGCTAAGAAACTTTGACTTTGTTCTTTTCCTGGGCAGTGATCTGCTCTTCTCGTCTCTCCTCCCTCTCAGGCCGGTCCTCACCCTGACGAGCAATGAGCAGCCGACACGTCAGCAAAATACCAAACACTAGGGCATGAGCATAGCGTTTTAGAGGATCTCCAACTAGCTGGTGGAAGAAAAGCACCGCTAGCATGACCAGCAGCAGAATAAAGTTGGCCACGTCTTTTGGTCTCCCTGGCACAAGGGTCAGAACAATTCCACATCCCACCTCAAGAGTACCAATAATCTTGCGTAGAAGTACAGAAGAAACGCCGATTTTTTTCAATGCCGGAAGGGCCTTTGCATAACTCTTGTACGCCCTTTTCTGGAAAGTGAACAGAAACATTCAATTTACATTTTTGTCAAGAATATTTAACATTAATACATATGTTACACATGTAACGATGTATTATGTGCACTGCAAAAATAACAGATGAAATGATACAGCAGATAGATAGATAGATAGATAGATAGATAGATAGATCAAATGCTTGATATATTTTTTTTATATTATTTTAATGCTCATATTGACCCAACTGTATTGCATTGAATTGTACTGTAATTTATTAAAAAAAAAAATATATATATGTGAATATCTGAATGTGTCTATGACATCAGCACAGCAGCTGCTGCACCTGCAGATGGAAGATAGAATTTGCTGGAAAGCGGCGCCATTGCTTTATCATGAGCTGCTTTAAAAGGATTTGTTTTAGAACGATATTGCAAAATAATCATCACACGTCATATCTGAGAGCGTTTCTTCTGTTTATCACAGATGATGCGCATTGTGATGTCATAATTGACCTACTTATGCGGTAATGAAACAATGTTGCGGCTGTGCATAGAATGCGCTGTTCAACTGCTCCAATTAAGTTCTACATAATTCGACTCATAATCAGGATTTTAATTACGTCTTCCTTATATCTAAGATTATAGATGGAATTAAATTAAGTCTATCTTATATTCACCGACACATCCAAAACAAAGAATGTGAAAAAAGTGAAATGTGAAAAAAGGCAGCGACAGCACTAGCGGACATTTTATAGAAAAATGCAAAAAGAGCCAGTTACTTTCGCACCCCCTCCTAAAACAAAGCCGGTTGCCTTCAGCTGAAGCTTCATTTGCTTACATGTATACTGCTAAGCGACGATCACTTACCATTTCACTATAGGCATCTTTGCTTAACCTTGGTGTGAGTTTAATTGTACCCATGAACACGAAGAACAGACCCAGTGCAAAGGAAAGGGCAACAATGGTTATGGTTCTTGGCGAGGCCATCTTCTGTAAAGTCTCCTTTCGATTGGCATCCGTTGTCGCGCTCCAGCTTTCTTCACTGTCCTGCTGAAGATGCTGAAGGGGGAAGGGCTTGATGAATACAGTCAAATATGGCTGCATGTCATTCCACTTCAGTACCAGGGAGCACCATTAGAGGGCGCTACGGTTTATCAACGTCATAGACATAAAGCCAACTGCAGTGCAGGAACATACTATTGGTGCAACTTGCAAGCAGTGCTTCTCAACACTAGGAGGCTCCAGCACACCGCAGGATGTTCAGAAACAGCAAGTTTTGTCCCATTGTCAGCATAAGTATTCCGTTTGTTTAGACAACTATTTGGTACCTGAAAGAAAATCGCTAGTTTATTAATAATTATTTACAAATATAAATGGCATTAAATTACCTATTGTACAAATGATCAAATTAAATATTTCCCTTTGTTTTTCAGTTCAGCAAGAGGACAGCCTCGGCTGGTTCTTATTCAAAACTAATTGTTTAAAGGGGTCGTATGATGCTTTTTTAAAGATCATTATTTTGTGTATTTTGTGTAACAGAATATGTTGACATGCTTTAATGTTCAAAACACATTATTTTTCAAATACTGTACATTATTGTAGGTCCTCTATGCCCCGCCTCTGTCAAACGCTTCGTTTTCTACAAAGTCCCTCCTTCCGACAAGCGCAGTCTGCTCTGATTGGCCAGCTGACCCAGTGCATTGTGATTGGCCGAACCCCGCAAGCACTCGTCGGAAATGTAACGCCCCTTGACCATAATCGCAAGCTTCATCTTTCAAAATAAATGTAATGCCAGTAAATACTGTCATTAGTTTTACCATCAGTTCAAGCCCGAAAGTGGAACAGAGTCGCGTGACAGACACAGTGATGAAGCTGGTATGTGTTTGCAGTACACAAGCCACGGTTAAGACAGCTGACTCCACTGTGATGTGACCGTCTCTCTCTCTCTCACACACACACACACACACACATTTATCTATCAGCTTGTAACACTCCAAAGAGAAAGGAAAACTTGAAATCACATCATATGACCCCTTTAATAATATATTACAATAACCCAGTGTTTTGATCAGGATTTTGTTCATTTATTTGGTTGAAAAACATCAGAGACAATCATTTTGAGCAATAGGTATCCCATCATGCAAATTTTTTCTCCATATAAAACCATCACACACCAAAAAAAGTATAAATTGGCTAAAAAGAAATGGATTTATATATTTTTTTTAAAAAAGGTAAAAATGAATAAAATTTCACAAAAAAGGTAGGCATCTTCTTATTCAAACCTGTAAAAACAGACTCAAGGATAAATACAGTGAATGCAATATGCTTAATGATAAACCATCTTGATTATCTATCAGACTGATTCATCATATACTGTCTTAGGTTATGTGAGTAAGTTATAATACAAAAATCTTTTAGGACACTATCTGTCTTTTTTCAGGACAGACCTTTTTGAATGTATGTCCCGTTTTTAGTATAATTCTTTCTCAATCATTTCTCAATAATCTCTTAATACAATTACAATACAAAGTGTACATTTACAAAGGTAGTGACAATGACGATCTAGCCATTACAAAACAGTAACTTCTTTTTGCAGACATTGATAGCAGACTTCTGTTTGGGTAAAAGACATTGATAAGTGGTTCAGCATGTCATCCATCCATCCAAATCTTCCATTTCTTCATAGGTCTTCATTCTTCTTTTTCATTACTATCCCGAAGCCATGTCCTGTTCCTGTCGGGCTTTGAGAGACAAAATTGCTTTTCGGTAAAGGTCTATTAGGAAACAGGCAAATGAAATGCTTTAAATTAGACTCCTACTTTTCTACAGATCAGGGCTGTCTGTGTTGAGCAAATGCTTTGGTTTGTTTTATTGTTTTAATATCAATGTAGAAAAATGATTGCCAGTAAATATAAAGTTTATATACAATGGTGTTGAAAAATTCCTCCCACAAGGCCTAAATTTCCCCCATGAGCAGCCATGATCAAAATGAATAGTGTTATAAAGGTCACTGATTCTTACCGAAAGTAGTTGAAAGATCAACAGGCTGTGCATAAGCTGCTGGAACTTCCTCTGTGTTTATCTTGTTCTTTCGTTTTACTTTAACTGTCTTCTTTTTTCTCATTCTTTCCTCTTTTCCTATGAATACATAGTTTAAAAGCATTAAAGGAAATAGGATGCAGTATTTCAGTTCTAATGACACTAAAGTTTCAATACCTCTAGAGGGTCTTGAGACCTCACTGTTGGGGGACTCTGGTAGACCAGAGTTCTCCTCTTTTACTTTGGCTTTGCGTTTCATTTTCCTTCGTTTGGGAGTCAGTAATGCACTGCTGGCTTTATCTTTCTGGCTGTTGTGGTCCTGTTCTGCTTCATTTCCTTCTGTCTCCTCCACCTCGTCTTCATTTACTCCTCTGCTTGGACTCTCCTTCTTAATTTTAACCTTCACCTTCTTCTTTTTGCTTAGTTTCTTTTTTTAAAGAGTTCTCCTACAATGCCAAAGGGTAAATCAATAAGTGAAGTCAATTAAACAACAGTACAGTTTTGTTAAAAATTCCATGATAAAGATATTTAACCTTATTTAGAATATTTTCGATTGGCTGCAGTGTCCCATTTTTCCTCACAGTTTCATTGTGCTGTTCTTGACGGATATCGGTTTTGCTTGTACGTGTTCTGCAAGACAAGATGAGTTGCATACATCTTATTATCATATATACAAATGAGATAATATGATGTATGCAAATGTTTGGGCCAGTTAGAATTTTTTCTTATTATTCAGAAAGAATGAATAATAAAATGTTAATAAGAAAAGTGATAGTAAAAAAAAAAAAACTTTTAAATAGATACTCTTCTTTTGAGCTTTCTATTCTTATTTATAATAGGCTATATAAAACAACTGTTTTTAACACTGATAAAAAAATAAAAAAATAAATGTTTCTTGAACACCAAATCAGCATATCAGAATGAATTCTGAAGGAACATGTGGCACTACAAAAAACTGTAGTAAAGTAATGGCTGCTAAAAATTCAGCTTTGCCGTCACAAGAATTATATTTGAAATAAAATAGAAAGTTATTTTAAAGTGCAATAATATTTAATAATATTACTGTTTTACTGTATTTTTGATCAAATAAATGTAGCCTTGGCGAGCATAAGAGACTTCTCTAGCAAACATTTAAAAATCGCGCCGATCCCAAACTTTTGAACAGTAGTGTAAAAACATATTATCTTATATAAACACATCCCTTACTTTTCCTCTTTAGATTTGTTCCGGCTCTTCTCTATTTTTCCTCTCCTCTCTTTTTCTTCTGGCCCTAATGGTCGCCTCCCGTCTCTCATCACACGGGCACAGATGTCAGGGTAGTCCAGGCACACGGCTCGCAGTAGCCATCTGAGACCTCGCAGAGTCTTTCTGTCTGACCAGCGACGCAGGTCCACTGAGGCAGAACATGACTCCTGTAGATTAAGAACAGACTGCTTAAAATACACTGTAATAAAGCTACTGGTAACCGGTCAGAATGTTGCCATAAACGTTAACATGGTATATGTGACCCTGGACCACAAAACCAGTCATAAGGTTCAACATAAGAAAGCAACTCATACAGGTTTGGAACGACATGAGGGTGAGTAAATGATGACAGAATTTTCATTTTTGGGTGAACTATCCCTTTAAGACTGGAGGTTTATCTTATGTTTTGAATATGTCACAGTTGTTTCACAGTACTCACGATGTGGCAAAGGGAACGGCTCTGGTTGACCAGCCTCTCTAGAGAGAGAATTTCAATGAGTTCATTTCCCAGCAGAGCATTTATTTTGTCCTGTTTATTTGCCAGCCTGTTATGAGATATAGATAGAGATGGCCAAAATAAGCTGGACTGCAGGCAAAATTAGACACACTGAAGATAGTACTGCTATTTGTACCTGAGTTTTATATTGATTTTAAAAACTGAATAGTTTGGAGCATTGTCAAAGAAAATAATTTAACAAATATTATATGATTTATAATAATAAACTGATATATTTTCATCAGAAAGATGATTTAATAATAGCAGTTGTGAACAGGGCTATCTTACACAAGAAGAGGTTTTCCTGCTACTCTTGGATGCTTCAGTAAGTCCACCAGAGCTTCTTTGACCTTTTTCATTTGTTGTCTGTCACTGGAATCCACCACAAAGATGATGCCGTGAGCTTCACCGTAATGTTCTCTCCAAGACCCCCGAACCTCAGGAGCCCCTCCCATATCCAGTATGTTAACCAAGTAGTTCTCCACCCTTAATTCAGTGCGGACACATCCATGAGTGGGACCTACATCTCCAGGGGGCACTGAACAAAGTATCATAACATTAAAACTCAACAAAATGCACAGTCAGTTTAACAAATCTCTCACTGATTTACTTTAACATTTATTCAAATGACCTAAATTACCTCTCAACATCCCTCTGACACAAGATGTTTTTCCAGCCTTGTCCAAACCAACCACTAGAACCGTGATCTTTCTAGAAAATTTTCAAACAGGGTTATTTAATATGTGGCATTCGTTGATAATAGGCTGACCCCTTCTGATCAGCAACAACAACAACAAAAAAACAGATAGAATTGTATAGGTACCTCAGTGGTTGCTGGAGTTTGGAGACCCAGCTGCAGCAATTGCTCATGAGATTGAACATGTTGACTGGAGGAGGAGAGCACCAGGGAGAGCACCATCGTCTCCTTAACTCGTACCTGAGAGCAGATATCGGGGATACTCAATCATTTGTACTCATGGCCTTAGAATACATGTAAACCCCAGCTGTTGTGTCTCGCACAGGCATTAACCTTAAGCATCAAGGATTCATTAGTTACTTGAATTTCTGACACCCACACCATCCCCTTAATACCTGTAATGCTTGAAAAGCAAATACAAAAAATGGTCAAATATGGGATCAGTTTTGAGAAAGAGCCATCCTCACTTTGTTTTTGTTTTTGAGTATTTCATTTATAATTTTAAACAAATATATTATTTTGTTTTTAAGTATTTTATTCATATTTTAAATGTATTTTATTCTTTTAAAATTATTCTTTTAAATTATTTTTAAAAATACTTAAAATATTTGTAATATTTTTTTAAACATTTACGTTTATAGACATGTTTCATTTTACAGCCAAACAAAAAGAAAGGAAAAAAAACTTTTTAAACTCTTAATTTTTACAGCCAAATAAAGGTGTATAAAAATCAGCAAAACAAAAAGTAAAAAAATAAATAAAATGTAAACACACTTTATATTACAACAAAACAATATAAAACAAAACCTCTAACCTTCTTTTTAAGAATCAGCATAAGCCATGTCTTTAGCGGTCATGGCTTTAAGAGATCAAAACACTGCAAAAGAGCTGATTAGACTTTGTTTTTGAGCCAACTAGCAGAATAAGACCTTCCAGGGCAAAATAACCTGCTCATATTCAGATAGCAGCTTCCTATCCAGTGCACACACATAGTAGTCTAATTACATTTACAGGTGTCTGAGTTGTAGGAAGGTTTGCGATTTTAGTGCTTGGTCCATCACTGTACATCTGTTCAGTCCCGTAAGCCTTTAAAGAGTAGTCTGAGTCAATTATACTGTTCTCGTTTTGAACACCTGACCCCTTTATCCAAGCAGCATGCGCTGCTGTAGCCCACTGTGCAAACACTCTCTATGTTTGTAAATGTAAAATACGTTTAAAAAAAATTTTCTACATAACAAAACTTTCCAACCGACACTTTACACATAATTAAGGATGCCACAACTGTAAATTCTAAACTGCATATTTGACTACAGATACAAAGCATCAACATGTTAGTCTGGATTATTAAATACAGACTGAAAACTGTACATTTCAGAGTGTTTGGAGACCACTATAATAATATTCAGTGTACTCCTCTGCACAATCACATGTGATCATAAACAGCATTAATGAGTATACAGACATATGCAGACATAATACAGCACATCATATCACATATTTAGAGTTAATGTGCAGTCAATAAAATAATATTACTCACAGTAGTATGTCAGACTCCATGTGTTTTTGTTTGTCTCTCCAGAGACATTTTGCACAAATCTGCTAAAAACGAATCAGGCTTTACTTATTCCTCTAATCCGGTCACCTCATGTGGGAGGAGCTTAGAAGGAACGCCATCACGTCCTTACAACCAATCATATGGGAGACAAGTGACAGCTGCTATTCTGCATGGTTTAACTGGGCTAAATGTAGACATCTGCCAGGTTATTTTAAGCTAAATATATGTAAACATCCTAACAAATACTTCGATTTTAGTTATAGGGAAAGTCCATAGACATCTGCTTTGAGGTAAATGAGAAATATGTTATCTACTACTCAGTCTAATGCATATTACTGTGTAGAGCGTCATAGTATGACGTCATCCTGTTGTTTACACGCCACTTGCAGATAAATAATCCAAGTGACACAGGCTCACTTGTACGTGCTTCTGAAATCTCCATCTTCAGAAGACTATTGCATATTCACAGAGTTCAAATTAACACCAAATCAAAATGGACAATTCTTATTTTTATGTAATATTGCAGTATTGTAAATTATTTATCCGTGCACATCCCTATTTTTTTCATTCATGTGATCTCTTAATCTTTAATCAAAAACATTAGCTTCCCCTTCTCTGATGACGTGTGCATCGATGGTACAAGAGCTGGCCAATAATAATCCATCCTGTCCAGCTACCTGTCACTCATATGAGATCACAGCAATTAGCAGACAACAACGATCCAATTAAATCCTGATGGACAAAATCAAGTTCCGCCCTACATTTTTTCTTGTTTGAGAAGTCGTATGTGTCACAATTGGGAAGAAAAGACGAGCTCAACTTTTGTTTCATGCTGATTTTAACACAAGGACGATAACGATAATGACAATTATAAAGTTTTAATTCATTCCAAAGTTATAATGATAGCTACATCATTGGAATCACTTTCAGAACGATTTTTTTTTCCTGTTGATGAATGGTAAAAATATTGACAGCCAATTAGAATCACCCGATTTTAAAGAGCTTAAGCATTTAAGGCACTAGACAACTAAACAGCTACGCTTGCTTATAATAAACATAGTCATATTGTGAGTTGGAGTGGACACCAATATAAATATTGTTATAGTTATGTAGTTATTGTTCTTGGTGTGAATGGGCTTTTAGCCTGAATTTTTTTTCCCATTAAATTTCAAAAGCACACAGTATTCAAAAAGTATTGAAATGTCTTTGCATAAAATATCAAACCAAGTGGCATTTGCAAAGAAATTAAACCAACTAGCTTTACGTTTCTTTCTTTTTTAATAATTACTTAACCAATCCATTCCATTCTCATTTTTTGGTCAATGTAATCATTTTAGTCAATGTCTTGCTTTTCTTTCTTTTTTAATAATTACTTAACCATATTTTGTGATATTTATACATTTTAAGTGTAGCGAATACTTTTCAGAGCCATTGTATATGGTCAGTTATACATTTTACAGGAATTTTAACAGCATCACTGCATAACACAGTCAATTTCAGACCAAACTTCAGTGACCTCACCATGACTATCTTTCCTGCACCTTTAATTCATGTCAGGTAGACTGTAATTATGATAATAACATGCAGTTTCGGGCTCAACCCACATCAAAGTCTGCATCTGTCTCTGTCACAAGATTCCAAGTCAAAGGTTGTTCTAAGCACAGTACACAAACTGCGCTGAATCTCAACCTTTATCTAAATCAATTACATTTGAATTAACAAATATGAGACATAGGCTTTAGAAAAGGTTATATGCTCTGATCATTTCCTGTTTTATCAGCTGCTTTTCATTTTCCAAGAATTTTAGAATTACAGTTGAGAACACAGTGTTTACATCTGATGGAGTCACTGTGAGGGTCTGATAAGCTGCAGCATTTAGTTTCCTGAGGTGTATGACATACGTTTGACCACCAGAGGTCCAATTCAAGACATTTGTTTTTCTGTTCAGTCATTTCAGGATCTACACCAGTGTTTCTCAACCCTGGTCCTGAGCGCCCCCCAACACTGCACATTTTGTATGTCTCCCTTATCTGACACACCCATTTCTGGTCGTGGAGTTTCTTTTAATGAGCTAATGTGTTGAATCAGGTGTGTTTGATAAGGGAGACACACAAAATGTGCAGTGCTGGGGGGCACCCAGAACCAGGGTTGAGAAATGCTGATCTACACTGAAAGCAAATTTGATGGTGAAACAGACTTCACTCAGAAACTGCTAGTTTCACAAATAATAACAAAGAAAAAGGAAATAACATTCATTTTGGAAGTGGAAAGACTGAAATAGTATTTTCTCATACTCCAATCATCTTTATTTATAACTTAAAAAAAACTTTTTCCAGTCAATTATAAAACGCTTTAGGCATGCATCCACATCTATCAATTCGAGTGTTTCTCTGAAAGATCAAATTACTGAAGGTAGTTTCTTCCACTTAAAACCAGATGTGAGGCAACTGCCAAAACAAAACAAAAGCAACATCCTCTTTACTTCTCTGTAGTCTGATCTGATTAAGTAATTACTGGCAGGCGCTTACTTCATCTGCTGACTAAACTCATGTGGAACCTTGAGTGCAGGCACAACCCCCTGTCAGCTGGCCATGACACAAATGGAAACAGCTCAGTGACCATGTTGCCTGTCCTTACAGCGGCTCATTTAATACACCCGATTCCATGATTCACAGGCTGGACAACTGCACATACACTCTTAAAAATAAAGGTGCTTCACGATGCCATAGAAGAACCTTTTTGTCTAAATGGTTCCATAAAGAACCTTTAACATCTGAAGAACCTTTCTGTTTCCCAAAAGGTTCTTTGTGGCGAAATAAGGTTCTTCAGATTACAAAAACGCAAGAAAGAGATGGTTCTTTAAAGAACCTTTGACTGAATGGTTCTTTGTGGAACCAAAAATGGTTCTTCTATGGCATCGCTTGAAGAACCTTTTGAAGCACCTTTATTTTTAAGAGTGTACCACATTATCTAAGATCCAAGAATTCCACAAGCTCATGTATTTTACTAATCACTGCATTATCCTATGATTCACTGGGAATTTGAGAGCTTGACAACTGTGGATCTGAGGCAGAGAAGGCCATATGCATTTGTTTACTGATCATGGCTAGTTCAGTTTGGGACAATCAGTCTGTGGGGGTGAGAATGCACAGCAACAGCACTACTCTGTGTCTCTCCTCATGTAGTAAAGATATTCAACGGACATCCTAAATCTCTATACTGAAAATTAGATTTGAAAAGAAAAAAAAAAATTTTAAAAAATCTAAGATGCAGGTGCTTTCAAATAGCCATTGTTAGTGTTTTACTATGTGGCTGCCATAGGCAATGGCTGTTTGCAATGTGAGTATTTACAAGGCTTGTTTATGGCCATGTGAGGCCCCTGGGACACCAGACGCTTTGGAGGCTCTCTCTTGAATTGTAATGTCTAAATAGAGGCACAAGTACATAGTTGCAATTGTGAGAATAAACACACCACATGTGTAATGTATTATGCAAGACCCTACAGTGGACAGTGAACACAGCTGCAAAGATCATCGGTGCCCCTCTCCCCTCTATTCTGGACATTTTCCTTGCACGATACTCCAGTAAAGCCACCAGTATCGTGAAGGACTCCACCCATCCCTCTCTTCCAGCTCTTGCCATTAGGAACACGGTACCGAACCCGCTCTGCAAGACTGCTCAACAGCTTTTTCCCCCAGGCTGTGAGAGCCCTCAATTCCAATGACCTCACCCCCCTCTGAAACCTCATCCACAGCCCTACCTCCTGAAACCAGGATCCTCTCACCCCCCATCCCCCACCCCACCACATGTAAACCATTGAAAAACTCATAAAACATTGTGCAACTCTGAGTGTGCTACACACAGGTGAGTGGGCTGGACAAACCACCTGTAGAAACACACTCTTTTCTCTCTAAATGCACCAGACACTTTCTTATAAACACTCCATGTTACAAGGAAAACATTGTGCAACTCGGAGTCTCTGCAAGACTGCTCAACAGCTTTTTCCCCCAGGCTGTGAGAGCCCTCAATTCCAGTCACCTCACACCCCTCTGAAACCTCATCCACAACCCTAGCTCCTGAAACCAGGATCCTCTCTCTCCCCATCCCACCACACCACATGCACCATATGAAAACTGTTGAAAACCTCAAGAACATTGTGCAGTTCTGAGTGTGCTACACACAGGTGAGTGGGCTGGACAAACCACCTGTAGAAACACACTCTTTTCTCTCTAAATGCACCAGACACTTCCTTATAAACACTCCATGTTACAAGAACTTAATAAGGACTTAACAAATGTTTACTTGTGAATGCACCACAAATCATACTGCACTATTTGCTTCTTAACCTTAAATACCTCTTTTGCACAATATCATGCCCAGTTATTATGTAAAGTACTTGTATAATCTGTCTTAGGTTATGTATAGTCAACTATTTATAGTATATGTATAGTTAGATTACCGCTTTCAGTAAGTTAGTTATGTATAGGTTTAAAAATTGTTCTTACGTCAAGTGTTGTATGTTTATATTTATGTTTATTTATGTAGCGCCGTGGTCCTGCGAGACACAACATTTTGTTCCACTGTATGTCCACACATGTAGCGGAATGACAATAAAGCTCAACTTGACTTGAAAAGCAGATGGCAACGTAAAGCTGTTTTCTCATGAACAACTGAACGCACAAAAGCAATCATTGTTTGCACTGTGGTTTAAGCAGAAATCAAGGCATTCAAGCTTTATACATTTTTATCTTGTGTTTCAGGAACAGTTGATCTTGTATTAGCATGATTAAGATTATTAAAGAACATTACAGAAAAAGAGTGTAGATTACTTGTATAACAGTACAATAGGTTATATAAAAAAAACATATACTTACATTTTTGAAAAGCATCAGATGTTGTTGAACTGATCATCATCTTAGCTCTGGTGATCATAAAAAAATTAATTAAGATATACAAGACAAGCAACATACTGTATATTATTAATTACATATTTTTCCAAGTGTGTTTTATGAGGTTAGAATGAAAATATGCAGTTCTAAAGATAAAAAATGCCCTCATA